TCACAATCCTTCAAGTCCTAGCAGGCGCAAATGATGGTCCTTTTACAACGGAAATTTCACTTAATTAAAATTTCCGGAGCCACCCGTTCCTTTTTACGTTTCACACAGATGGTGAGACACTTCTTCTAATGTACGGTAATGCAAAACGTAAACCGATAAAGCACATCATGAAGATTAATGCAAAAATGGCTTTCATGAGCGTGTAGCACACAAAAGAGACAAAAGCGAAATTAAGAGAAAGGCTTACACCACTTATACACAAATATACTCGTATATAATACGAAGAATAATCAAGTCACTTGCCTAAAAGAAGGTCCATATGTCTAAAATTGATGATAGCCTCACCTTCTTGAATTGGTTAGTTTTAGGACTGCGAGTGGCCTTTTAATGAAATTACAGCAAACTCTAATATAGTCCTCTCAGCTCACATACAGCCGTAATTACTGCTGCGTTACCATTCTGTTAAATGTTACTAATATTATACGAGATAATATCAAAGGACACAGTCATTTATTGTTCTGCTTTCTATTACCTAGGCGAGAGTGGGCAAAGGGGTGCACCAGTAATATACTGTAAGCGGTACTTACCTACACAAAGTCAAAAGGTCAGTATTTTCAGGCTTCGTTTACGGAGTTCGCAAATGCGCATTTATCAATCATGTGCTAAATTACGTGGCGTGAGATTCAAAAAATTTGTAGCAAAAGTACGACAGGGTGTTTGTAGTTCCATGCTTGTATGTTGATTACAGCGAGTATATCGTGCAGAAAATGGTAAACGAAACCGCAGATACTTATGCAGACCCTTAACAAACAACGCTTCGACATGACCTATTCGATATGGTATCGAGGTCCACTCGTTTTTTTGTCAGGCGCGTTGACCCATAGCTGCCTAAGCTGAAAGTCTCGTATACGCAGTGCTTAGTGGGGCAACCTAAACATTTGTCGAGTAAATTATTATTATGATCTGTAATTACGATTCCCCACTGTTCAGTCTAACATGTTTCGACGACATCTTGAAAATGTATCATTGAATAGGATATTAATTAGACAATCTTTATAGCTTCGATGTTGAAACATTGTCAAGCCATCTTTGCTCGTTAGTTTATATACATCGTTCGTTCTTTCGTATCTCAAAACAAGATGTACATTTCTTCCGTTATATAGATGAAGACTTTGAAGCGGATTTTACACCTTCTATTGTAGATATCTTTAAATATTATTTTGTTCATTCTGTTCTTAATTTATAAAAAGCTTATACTCTATATGTAAGAAAGGTAACGGCTTATAAATACGTTGTAGCAGCAATACGACGCTGTTATTCCTGGTGAATTAGACGCAAATATGTGCTGTGGCAAAGGGGTAGAAAAGTGCAAGCCATAAATCCCCTACCATCTTAAAAGTTTTCGTTACCAATGAATGGGTGTCGCACCAGGTTAATGCAAGACATATTTGAAACTGTCTAAGAAATTAAACGGCATCACATAGGAATCGTTCTATTTATTTTCTCAGTATTTGTTTCTTCGGAAGCCCCAGCTGCTCGGACACAGTTGCCTAAGGGTTGAGTTTTCTATCAAACGGAAGCTGCTTCATAGACCTACCTCTACGATCATCACAAATCTAATTTAGGACGGGCTAAAGGACTTCTGTCATTTGAGTCTGCCTGGCCGTTTAGCTGCCGAGCAAAAACCCTTTATACCTTCTAGTATTCTATCTTGACGGAATGAAGTTTTACAGACACGTAAAAGAGACACGGATTCCGATTTTAGAAAGTGTTTTTTTCCACATACATGCACGAGACTAGACCTACCAGATGTGGTCTGTAGACGATACTGCTGCTGTGACTAATACACAACGCTACTATCTCCGTCATGTATTTGACTGACGGAGTAGAAAAGATCCAAACTGCATCCCTAGGAAGTTACCGTTATGATGCATTAAACGACAGCAGCAGGAATTTTGACTACCTCTTACTGGTTTCCACTGTCCGCAAGGAAAACAATGGATGTAAGAAAAAGGGTTAAAGAAACCCAGACCGGAAGATTTTTGGTGCAATTGTTTCCACTCAGACCCAGCTAATACATTATGCTGCTTATACAAATCTGCCGCACTGCTCTTATTGACACGTTACATTATCATTACATAATCGAAAGTTTGAATTTTCAGCCTGATAATAGGTATAACTGAGCCAGGTACAGGGCGGACAAAAATGCTACTTATTTCGAACTTTGCACAGAACGCTCTAGTGCATGTTTTATGTAGTCAACGATAACCCTTATAAAAAGGTATTAATGTTTGCAATTCAGAATTATTTTTTTTTCGTTTTTTATTTACGCGGTTGCCCTATAAGTACAGAACGCTCAAAAGCAGTCTGCGTAAACTTTCAGGCTGTGACAGGCACTTACGGCCAATTCATCGCCCCTATCAACACAGTCAACTTTGATGTGATGCAGTTCAGCCCCCGAACTCGCTGATCAACATGAAAAACATGATATGCACATAGATTTTTCTATGCTAGTGCTGTTACTGGTACATCGAAACAATAGATCTGTTGGCTGTTGAGACGTCAGCTTCAAGCCTGGCTCCAAACGCTGTCGGAAATGTCGCGTTCTTCCCAGCGAATCTTCGTACCGAATGTTATTAAAACACTCAGGCCAATGTCATTACTACGCCCGCTGGCCGGATGCTAGATACATATATATGCACCGCTTTATACGTCTTCCCTGATGTGAGTCCTCTTGACCACTTCGCGACAAATCTGCCTGCTGTTGTCAAGGTTATTGTACACTCAGCTCCTGAATCCTTTTTGTTTAGTCTGCTAGTTAACGACTCGTATTTGGCTACGAAAATATACTACGTAGATAAATACGTACGTAAGTATACCCTCGCCAGTCAGGTAAATAAATATTTGGCTTGGTGAGCTGGCGTTCAGATGCAAGCATAGCATAGACAAAATGACACAGATGCATGTTTACCAAACAGACTTATAGTTTCGGTTAGACGCGCGACAGATCTCGTCAGGCAAACACACGCAAACATGTTCATTGGGTCTTTTTGTGTAAGCATCCAGTATTTTACCGTGTTGATTTTAACAGCATATGAAACACATTGTTAAATAGGGAGGAAAATTTTACAAGGCTTTGATGCTTTTTGTACGTCAACGCAATGACGCTAGCCTACGGCGGAGCGGGCGTTGTTATATCTTGGTTCTTGTTAGGTGAGCAAGCGTTATTTGTACAATGTCGTATGGTTCAATGTTGTCCCCTGGCGACCATTCAGGCTTTACTTCAGTGAGGGAAACATGCCCTGACTTGAAAATATGTATATTCTGTCTTGTCAGGACTCATAAATTAGAATACAATGCGACCGTCATTGTGTTAAAGCGTTGAATCATTGACGTGGAAGAATTTCCTGTGCAAATTTGCCGCACGCATGCGTATGGTTAGGGCTCTAGCATCTAATAAAACCCTCTCAGATTTGTAGTTCTATCCTACATGAGCGTTCGCATAAATATGGATTATCCAATATATCGGGTACAATCTGCTCTATCTAACACGAAAAAATAGGATCACCGTGTGTAGACCACGTCAAACTACTAAAGCCAGGAAAAGTCTATGAGCATCGCTTTATGCTGAAAGCATTTTTATGTACCAGTTATATATTTCGGATTCGAATAAATCGAGACGAACACACAACTGACTGTCCTGCTACGATGAAGTTGCTAACCTAAATATGGTAGTTTTATTTCATGAGTGTCTAGTACAGGACTTCGGGTTGACATCTGTGACGGCGATTTGTGTTCAGTGAGTACCTGACGCCGGACGTAGATTTCTCAATGACTTTGCAATAGAACAGCGCAGACCCTGATATTCAGCTGGGTCCCTGGAAGTAGGCATTCTATAGGAACCGTCGATCTATACATGAATACTATTAGTATCATTATTATTACTATCATTATTAAAGGGACATAGATTTTCAATTCAGTAAAACCGTCAGCCTCACCAGCGCATAATCGTTGTTATCACGCTGGATAGGCGCAATTTGTGATGCTGCTTATTTTTTTTTACGTAGACCGTTACCTCTGAGGTCAAAAAGTAATCTCGTAAAGGTTTCCAAACATTCGAAGATCAGCTGCCGTACAGTATACTTATTGTCATTCCTATAACGGATTATTTAGAAACACCGAATCTGGCACTTTTACTGTGTCAAGCTTCTTTTAAAGATTCTATAAAATCTGATGATAAAATAGTTCGTTATCACTGCATCACTTTAAAACCCTGATAGGAAATAGCAAATTTTCTTTTTTATCAAGAAACCATTGTAGAGACAATATCATTGCAGACAATTCGCTTATCAATACCTCTTTAGGAACGCAGCACGTTCTTGCTGACGCCGAAAAAAATGCGACGAGCAGTTAATAACTCATGTAAGGTCCGCTGAACATTACTGATGGGCATCTTCCTCTGAGTGAAGCAAACCTACGCCATTTGTTTTTATCCTACAATAACAACTGCCGCCTTTTGTCGTTTATAACGCACTTCTCTTCCAAGGTTTTTTTTTTTATTAGGACCAGCTAAAACTCTCACACCAGCCCGATCAATCCTCGTTAACCTGTACTACGGGCTGGTTAAAGTCAGCGGCATGGTCCTCTAGAATATCAGGAGAACAAACACAATCAGAGAATACCAATGCTTTGGCACAGTCCTCCTTTTGTTACCACTAATAAATCATTGACCTCAGCAAAGCGCCGCCACTATGGCCCTAAATGTTCAAATAGATAATATAGCCATAACGTTTTACGGATTTAAATTGCATATTGCAATCAATTTTTTACATTACATCAAAAATACATAGTAGTCCTAGCTAGCGGTTTAAGTTAATTATATCTAAGCGCGCAAATTATTATAACAAAGAGCGGACGTCTAGCATGTTATAAGACACATATGTCTAACTGTTGGCTTCATTGCTTTTTTTTTTTCTTTTCTATCCACGTTTCATTTGCAGCTGCCGACATGGCGCATGATGTGCCGGGCTTGCTTAGTGCCAGAGCCGCCTCCCCAACCAGACGCGAGCCCCAAGACTCTGACCCTGTCTTTATTGTTATCATTCGTGTTAAACCCACTTTTACCACAGTTAATGATTTTAGCCATCAGACAATAGCAGTCTCATCGCATCTAGCAGTGCCCGACCAGACAAAACACTGCTATATCTGGCCTTCCAACAGCGTAGTCAAGAGACGTTCGAAAGCGCCGGCGACGGTAAATAACGGTAGTAATAATATCTTACACTATAATAATATAGCCATAAGGAGCAGCTTACCACAACAGAACATACGAACTCGAAGACACGCTCAGAACAATAGCGGTGCCACGCTTAACATAGTGAAACACGCGCTGTGGGAAGTACGACCACGCGGGTTGCTTCGTATTGTATATTGCTACTTCAACGATAACGTATATTATTCTGCTACTGGCTCGGGCAGTCCCCAAGTCCCCAAGCGGCGGCGACAGCGGCGGCGACGGGGGTGGCGACGCGCGAGCCTGTAGGCCGTCGTTGGCCGCAGGCGAGGAAGTGGTATTGGATAAGAGATTTAGAGCGAATGAGGCGTTGTAACAGGAAGCAGCAGAGCGACGACAAGCAGCGAATTGAGCCGAAATTGATTAGCAACAGGTTATCGTCGCGCAGCAGACGCCGTGTGACTGGGCAGCACCTTCTCGTTAAAGCAACAGTAACTACTAGCACCAGTCGTTGTTCGACGATGTGTACAATGTTGTACGGCCAGCAGCTTGTTCAATAGCTTACTGAAATCAGGCGTCAAGTTGTCCTCACCGAGAAGCTGAGAGTGAGTTAAAACAAAGACGAAAGAAAAGGAGAAACGAGTTAGACGATAATATACAGCTGTAGAAAAAGCGGCCGTACGCTCCCACGTGTGACAAAAAATACGTGAGGAGCCGCACGCACACCGACAAGGGTGGTCTCTTATTGACGACGGCATTGCGACCTCGCCCTTTACAACCAACACACCAAACGGTCAGTCCGACGGAGAGAAGCTACGAAGACCTGAGATAAAAGGAAAGCGTAGCACGCTTCGGGCAGAAGGACAAGCGCCATTTCCAAGGAAACCACTTCTTCCATGTCCGCGTTCATTAAGCATCCCAGCACTCATGTTTTCTTTCATGTACAAGACAAATCGGCCGCCCAGCAAGGTATGTACGTACCGATTTCATTTCTCTTTTGTTAAACGTTTTTCAGTAGCAATTTAGATTTGCACGTTTTGAACCGAATGTGACATTCGTGGCCACTGTCGCTCGTTGTCTTATTAGTCAGACGTCTCGCGTTGGGTGCTGGCATGCTTACTTAATCGCGTGACAAAAATGAAAATAATATATCTTAAAAGATGAATAGTGCATGTGTTACATATATTGAATAATACTTGAGACCCAACGCATAATATTTCAGAATGTATATGTTAGCAAAACCGTTGGTGAACTTCACCTAGTATTTCTAGCCAAAATAGGTATCCCACATGATGTACCAAAATTGATAGAACCTTAAAAAAGGGGGCATACGATGTGCTTTAATGTAGCTCTAGAAGCCACCTGCTTCTGTGGATGCGATGGCAAGTTGTAACTTTAACATGTGAAAACAAATCTCACAGCTGTGGAGATGAAATACATGCTTTATAAATTACCATTGGCAGATTTAACCCTGTGTTAGATTCTCGGTGTGCAGTTGACCTTTGATTGAGAAACTTGGAAGCGTATACCTTTGTGTACTGCGAATTTTGCGGTCAGCGGCCACTTACGAAAAGTTGCAACGGCTGGACATCATTAAATGTGCTAGAATGAACCACAGAAGATAAAATCGCATCTTTGGTTTGAATGAATGGTCCTTTAGGCGACCCCGCCGAAAATTCTCATCGAGGGAGTTTGCTTCATCAAAAACTAGTCAGTCAGCGAAATTAATTAAAGGGCATAGAGTATGCAGTTTCAACAAGTACATAGAATTACGACATGAATATAGAGTGGAGCATCTGCCCTCTGACGACGATGGTTGGCAGTATTTCTAGCTAGCTATCTGTTACTATTTGCAGCATAGTAGTAATAAAGTTGAACCTACCAAGATTGAATGCACTTCGTGAGATAGTTTTCGTTCTAACTTAACCTTACACCCTCGACGTTCTACGAGTTATGATAAGAAGGATTAGATAGCTCCTCCATTCATCACGAACTAGAAAATAAAGATTTATGGATACATTTTAACGAAATAGAATACCAAATTATGATTTCAGTTTACGGTCACAATGCGCAAAAGTTCAATGATGCTCTACCAATGGAGATATTTTTTATTATCCGGTTGAAGAAATAACGCTTCTTCAGTACGTAACCATAGCCATAAGAGAGAGCGAATGGGAGCTTGCCCACCTTAAATTTCCTTCACAACAAAGGATTTAATGAACATTTCAGGCAAACCATCCAGAAAGTATAAGCGATAATTTAAAATTGAGTGCACAATACTGTCAGTATCAGCGGAAGCAATATCATTTCACATATGCCAAACTAACAGAGGCAAAGCCACAGCCAGGTTACGCAGAGCTAAGTTGGGAAGAGGGAAGATAAGAAATATCTATGTCTGAGTGTGACGGATAGCAGCAGTATTCAATGGATGGAATCCATCCTGGATGGAATAATCTTGCAACGGGAGTTACTTTTGCGTCACTTAAATCGAATGCACCACGTGTGGAACTTCATATGGAAATTGCACCAGTCATACATGTTCTATTTGGCCGTGCATTTGCCAAGTCCGTTGTAGATTGGACTGCAGCGACTGCCAGCTCAACGGGCAGCCAGACTTTGATTTATCTGAATGATCGACAAAGACTCGATCATTGAAATTCGTATTCGTAAGTTATAAGTAAACTGACGATGCTTCTGTTTAAGTTCAGCATTAGTTGGGGAATAGTTACTTGCAACGTGCCATTTCAGATTCGGGTCAACGTAAATCTTCCGCATAACAATATCATAATATTGTATATTATTTTAACAATAAAGGTCATATTGTTCCTTTGTCACGAGAATTATCTGTAAAAATAAACAGTACGAAGTTCGGTTTGATGCAACGATTCGGTTTTTGCAAGGCCTACTCGCAATGGAAAGTGCTCTATGACAGTTCGTGTCCCTAGCATAAGGTACGCAAGCCTTGAGGTAAAATCTGAGTATTGAATACGAGCCTTAGTCTCTCGGGTCGCCAGCGCATCAACCAGTACATATCGGCCTTTGACCGATTTGTAGGTAGGAAGCCGCAATCACATGATTACAGCTGTGAGGCAGCTATCTGTAAACTGCTTCAACGTTTCCGTCATTTAAAAGAACTTATCACTGAAATATAGGCTACACATTCACGTACACGTGGTAACATACTGCACGCATGCAGAACCGTAAAGGACTGACGTGTAGCCAGAAAGGCGGTAGTGTCACCGAATGAATACTGTTGTTGCTAGCTGTTTTGCGCGATGCGCCTTCCCCGTCTCCACTGAAATCTCTAGCTAGACATGAAACATTTTTCCCTCTATTTTAGGCCGAGGATAATGGAATGACTTGTCAGCTGTTTTTTTAATTATGTTCTCGTACAAGCTCCTATTATGTTTCCATCTGCCGTTCGCATGCTGATTCTGCGCGTGCCTGGCGCCACCCGTAGTCACTGCGTAGTTTTCAAGTTTTCGCCGTACAATATGGCAGCAAAAAGAAGATGAGTAGGCGATTGACGAGAAAATCAATACAGTCAAACTTGTTTAAATTTCATCAAAATTTTGTGCAGCATGTTGGCGGCGATGCTCGTTCCGTAATAGCAGACGTCTTAGATTTCGAAACTGATTTCGAAAATCTGCTGCGTCGTGTCAACTTACGATAACAAAAAATATTTGGATTGCAATCAATCGCTTCTAGCGAAAATAAGCTGCGTACAGCTGTACCGCTTATCCGGAAGGAACACTCGACTATGTGAATCGGCGTTAGCTCATTATCACTTGCGTCCGGTAACGGTATGGCGAACTCACCATAAATGGAAACACTGAGTTATTATTGCCGGAGGACATGTGATTTATAGAAAAAAAAAAAAACACTCGTATTTTGCTACAGTGCTGCCGAAAGCAAGGGCAAAAGCAGATTCACCAACTCCACTAATTCAGGCTAATTTCTATTTATTTTTTGTAGAACTTTAACCCAAATTTGCAATTAAAATGAAAAAAAAAAAGATAGAAAATACTATTTAGGGCTAGAGGCAAATGTCTATGGTTGAGGGATGAGAGAACGATGCGTCCGACTGCTCCGCAACTCGGTTTTATCGTTGTCATTGTTCGATGCCCATATAGAAGACGAAGCCTATGGCACTAACCTAAATAATACCGCAGCTATTTGAGAACAGGAAGGGCCTTTTCTACCTGAGCCCTGTGACTCCACTGTGATTTATTTCCCTACAAAAACCGACGGTCTTGAACGATCGTCGCTAAATGGCCCTAAAATGAACGATTATTGTGCGGATCACAATGGAAGATAGTAGGAGAACATTGCTTTGCTCTGTTGTGCCACCTAACCGCCCTAAATAATGCTATCGGGGAGCGAGGAGACCTCAAAAGTTCACTGCGTGCCCCTTAGAGCTATTTGTTGCTGACAAGCAAGCTCTTCCGGTAAATAGAAGATATTAATAAAACGTACATGCTTGACAGTTTCACATGACAACAATTATATATCATAAAACATTATACAGAAGTAATTTAGTGGAGTTTAAATAAAATTACAAAAAGCTTCTTCGTGCCTGGTGAACATGAGCTTCAAACGCGAAGCGAGTGCCTCAAACTTCATTACCCGACAACAGCCACAACGATTCATTATGGGCTATTACCTCATTTGAAAACACTGTGTTAACTTATATTTTTCTTAGTTTTGGGTAGGTACATATTTACGCAACGAGGAATTATGGAGAATCAAACTTTGATCGATTTTGTACATTATTTCGCAACGCTTTAATTGTATCACCCGGTTAATGGTGACACCTATGTATGATATAGCTCTCGACAGTCCGCGTTTGCCCTACTGACGATATAACAAGCGCTTTCGACTGTATCTCGCTAGAGTAAAAATGATTTTTAGAATACAGTTTGATTAGATATGACAGAGCAAACTGAAAAGACCGTTACTGAAGCTGATTAGCTCTTGGATTATTCGTGTGTACTGACGCTTGGTTTACAGAATAGAATTTCGATAGTAGGTAATAGAATTCACTGTTGTCTTCTTTCTGTCTGTGGTTTTTTGATTTTTCTTCTGCGGATGTTTGTCTTGTTTCAGCGAGTCCTCCTGGCGGGGCGGCCCGACGTTCGGGCGCCTCCGCGCTAGGCCTGGGGGGCCACAAGCCCCAGGGGCTGAGCTTGGCAACCGGAAGCCGGTTATCAGCAGACCACGCCTCTCTTCTGGCCCATGGCCCCCATGGCCAATTCAGTAGCATGATGAGCGCGGCTGGAGCGCATGGCCATCATCACGCTTCCCACATCACCTTACATCTCTCCGGACATCAACAGCAAGCTGGCTCACAACCACACAGGTTAGTGTTACTACATGTGAGCTATATGTGAATAAAATGTCAGCCGTTGAAAACTGTGTGTGCCCCCCCCCCCCCAGCACGACCGTCGCGCTTTGCACACGTGACTATGGGATGTCCTGCAACAACGGAGTATTTCGATCTATCGTACCTGCGCGTTTATTTTTGCCACCTCAACAAAGATAGACCGTCTTTCACTTAGCAACGTGATGTAATAAACTTACCCGTTAACCAACTTGTGCAAATTGAAATTCGCTCGAAGTTAATCAAAGGCCATATAATAGCAACTGAGTTACACTGCGGGTACAACATTCTACACATAGTTCTGTAGACGTCAGAACTATCAGATGTATTTGTACACACAAATCTACAAATACATCTGATAGGAACTGTCACATGCATAAAAAATTACATCAAAGCATGAGTGTATTGGGCCGTTTACAAGCACTTCAGCGCACAACAATAAGGAACAGCAGGGTAGCGCTGGAAGTGATATTGACAACTGCAGAATTATTTGCATTGTTGATAGTGGCAATCTTCTTTTAGGTTATCGTAACCGGATCAGGCAGAGGCAGACAACGTGATGAAATCTCTGAGGCGCATGTTAAATCAGAACCCGTCTATTGGGTTTTCGGCTCCTTCCTTTCGCGGTATTATTCGTTGCTTTGACTCTGTAAGAGTTTGGGCCTACTTCCTTGATTTTCAGGTTGCATTTACGGATGAGCCATTTATAAGCCTTTGTTTCTTTTAAGTCGGGCATCGCCTTAGCTCCTTAGTGAAGTTTCACGGCGAAAGTAAGCCAATTAATTTCTGTGAAGACCTAGTATGCGCATCAGTTACGCAAGCCTGGGCTACGCGACCGAGCTCGCGTAATTAACTGATCATAAAACGGTTCTATATTAACGCCGGCCCATACGATGCGTAAGACGCAACATCCTAATCGAAAAGAACCCACGCCGTTGTTCGTGAACTAACGTGTGTCCTCAGACCTTGCGGCGACCTACGGCTAGCAGAATGATCGTGTCCGCTTCTTCCTAACAAACATGATTTTCAGGAAAAAAAAGGTAACGGATTTTGCTTATTTAGTTACAATATTATTGAATCCAAGAGGTAGGATTTCGGCTGTAAAAATTCATTGGTTCGGTCATATTTGGGCATGTGCATTTCGCGTCCGGGTTCGTCGACAGATCGCATAAAGTAGGGGCCGAACGACGAGGTTGTCAATGGCATCTACCAACGCCTATGTTACGAAGTTTTTAACTGAGCACGTCGTGCAGTTCCGTGACACATTTTGGGGAGCTTGACCGTTCGAACTGAAGTCGTGAAATGTGGACAGTGGTGTCTTCAGATTTTTTCGGCTCATCGAGGTGTGCAATAGAACAGTGCGAGTTCGTCGACCTCGTACATAAAAACATCTAGAAATAATTTTGTTTGTCATTGATGTACTCTACACAAGGTTAGGACACGCATATCAGTTGACGATGTCTAAATGAGATATTGTGAGCTCACTTGATTGAACTCTCACTCGTTAGCTTTTACATACGTTTACCTGTATATTATACTGGGCAATATTCTTTACATCCTCATAATGCAATAGAAAGAAATTTTCAAATAGCTGAAGGGTTTTTGGTCAGTTTGGTTACCTCTGGTGGTTGGACACAGCGCCTCATTAGACTACTGTTAATAGTGTCAAGGTCCATTAGAGAAGTCTAACGGGAAGGCAGAGTGATCTGTGTGTAATATGAGGAAATGAAGGAGGCAAGACGGTGCTAACTCTGACAACGACGACGAATGTATAAGCGATGTATTAAAGACTCTCAGGTTATTCCCATTGATCCTATTGATCACTGGGGACGCTTCATGACTATAGACAAAGGTTTCAGGGTCCCAGGACTGCTGAAAAGTTAGAGTGATGGTATATAGCTTCTAGGAAAGTAGTTTACTCGGAGCCGCCGCACTAACAAATAGAGCTGCTAAAAGCGCTGACACATGAACGCTGCGCAGACCTAGCATGATTCACAACGATGGTCGAGAATTGTAAAAGATTAGGTCGTAGGTTGGAAATTAACTATATATCGGTTAGCGGCTGAGGCTATTACGCCTGATCCCGTCCGGACTAGCAGCTATATAGTATTTATATTTTTCATCATAAAAAATATATACAAAGTAGTAATGCGTCCAAATTGACAATTTTTTCTACGTTTTTTTTTTTCTGAGACCATACCTAAGCGATAACAACAAAATTGTTATTCAAGGAAATTTTTTGCATGGGCTAGAAGCGTCACTCCCGATGGTCATGTTTACTCAATACAGTTATCATCCGCCGTGACTGCAGCTTCGATCCAGGACCTAAACCAAACATTAGTAATTTTTAAAATAACCTTCTTTAATCAGCAAGTAACTTTTTATTTGTAGTCGTCTGTCAATCAATGTTGGTAGGTATCGTTCAAATACGCCGCATATAAGAAATTTAAAATTTGCGCTGACAGCTGGCTAAAGGTCCTAAAAATTCAGAGCTTTAAAACGAGCCACAAGGCTCAAAAAACTTGAATGAGTTTATAGAGAAAACCCAATCGTTAGTTTATATTGTCCTGTAGCTCAGTTGTATAGAAAATATTTTTTTTGCTTTTGTATTATGAATTTTTGGGCCCTCTAAATGCAAACCCTATTGAATATCTTTCTGTTTGCCTTATAAAAGGATTATAGACAAGTCCCGTATATACATGACAATGGCCGTTGATTTCGGGCAAAAATAGGGTTTTCAATCGTGGCAAGGGTTCGTTCAATGTGCAAAGCCTGAATAATGGCAGATTTCTGCTTAAATTCCAAAAACAGCTCACTTTTTTCCATAAGGAGTTTGTTCTTTTATTTCAAAAAGAACGGCTTTCCTTACGAGGACTAGTGGATGAACGCATTCTCGTGAAACTTTCCTTCAGTTTGAATGTATCATCCTATATATATATATATATATATATATATATGCGCATGTCTGTTCCATTCGTTGACTATTATTTTTTCCAAATATCCTTTACAATTTTCACAATTCACGCGTGTCATTAATAAGGATGAACATGTCTAACGCGGATCCTATTGGGTTTTCTCCGACAGGCCAATAAACCGGTGTGGCAACTGTACAGGCAGGTTTTAATATTTTTTTGTTTTTCCTACGTATTGATAATTCCTGATATTTTTACTCTTCCGGGCATTTTGGTCTTTCGAAATCGTCCTAGCAACGCGTTCAAATGGAGGCGCATTAGCGATCCAAAAGAAGCAGCTGCGTTCGGTATCAAAGTTGACGTGTCAACGCCGTAGGATATGTAAACCTTAATCATCTATTTTACAAAGGAAAAGTATAATCTGCCGTATTCGTATTGTACTGCATCATTATTACTAATGTGTACATTAATGGAACACAATGTAGTACAATATGTTTTATTGAACACCCCGGAGCCACCGTAACGTCCGGTCGTTGTTGTTCCCTTGGGAAATTATCTTTACGTTAGAAAAACCGCATGAGACGCATACGACCTTCGAACGCGACTAGTCCACCTCGTCGCAGTGAGTGTAGGTAGCTGAGATTATAACATATATCCGCGGAATGATCTGCGCTTGCTTAGCCATGTTCAAAACCACCTGTAAGAAGAATGCTTCTTCATACAAGTTGACGTAGTGTGTTGCGCCCAGGATCTTGTCTAAGCCCTGTGAGGCCAAAAGGACACATCGATCAAACGGTCGATTTCCACAAGGACCTGCTAGGATCTCTTGCCGTCGGAGAAGCTAAAGTTCTGAAAAAATTTTAAACGGGTCATGACTGTAACCAGCGCTGCGATTACACTAGGATTACGGAGTACATAGTATCATTCCAATTCGAGTCTTCTGAGTAGAGCAAATAAATGCTATTCCGGTATCGACGTTCATTACAAGTATTGCATATACAAGCATTGCGTGTATGAAGGAAAATTTAGACGAACATAGAATGTAAAAAGAGGTCAGTTATTAGATTTAGTAATAGTTCAAAAGAAATTTCAGTGAACACTCATATAGCATGAATCTAATTTGTCAGCGTCCAGTCCAGAAAAAGTAACTAGCTAGTAAACTAACTAGTAAAAAAAACAAGCTAAACTCGTTCTGCAGGAGTCTTTATTGGAAATGATTATTTAAACGAACATGACTAATCGATATTACATCAGCTTAACAAAAAAAAAGCGATCGCTTGACTTTGTCTTGAAAAATGTCCGATGTATACAACAAGTGAGATTCTAGTTTCAGTTGAGATAATTAAGGTCATAGAGGACTACACTATCGTATAAACAGAGCCATAAAACCATTACTCCAGTACGTGACGAACTTACAAAAATCATATCTATAATTTTCCTCTAGAATTATTATCCAACACAACTCGAAAAAAATTACCCAAATTCAGGTAAGAATAGAGCCGAAAGCACAAAATATTTTCGTCAGCTTAATACTACTAATGATTCGTTTTTATAAGAAATGTCTAAAGGTTCTTAACTATTTTTCAAATATTGAAACCTAAAAATACCCGGCATAGAATAGATCAATCTCAAGTCAAGATCAGTCATGTTTCTAATTGAAATATGCATCAGTAATTCTATTTTTGGTTTAGATAACTTGGGATTATTTCTCATTAATATTCGTTTATGTATCACTATGTTATTATTACTACTCTGTTTGTCAATCCCATCGCTATAATTCAAGAAGTACCACCGCACCTCTCTTGGTAGCGCTGTGAAAGTATATCATCGGGTAAGTGCGTTAGCTTGGTTTTGGGATCGCCGCTATTTTACTATAAGTTAAATAACTTATAAGTTACTAGATTTTGGATAGCAGGACGCTCTTTCAGGCTAAACATGATACGTATAAGTAATTAAGTGACAATAAATACCTACGATTGTTACAATGTTTGCCAAAAATATTATTAGTTTCTATCCATTTCTATCTTCCTCTCTGTGTAGATTGCCTAATCTGATCGAATTAACCAGATCATTCACCACAAGACGTTCAACGTTTGTTTGTTTCCCGTGGGTAATAAATATGTGAGCTGTTTTTAGGAATGCTCATTATAAATGTAGCACATTTACGACTGCATAGGAGTAATATAAACGCCAAGTGAGAGTAATTCTTAGTTATGCGTTCGTTCTATTTCAGGCCAGTGTCAACAATTCTTTCTGGGGGCTCATCGAGTCCACATGCAGGCGGCGAGTGGGATGATTTTGATCTGTTTTGCCAGTCATCGTATCCCCGCCTCTCCCCGCTTGGCGCACATCCTCAATTTCCTGGACAGTCTTCCCATCACGCCCTTGACTCGCAGCTCATCGAAGAGACCAGCCTAGGCGGACCGGCGCCACTAAATGCCCAGCCCGCCTTCCCCAGGTCAGCAAGTTTTTTTTTGTCTACCTATAACAGAGTAATCATTGTTAGGCTGGTAGAAGGTATGAAAAAAAAGCAGTAGGGAATTATTACCGTCTACTGAAGACTTCTATTAGTAATGTATTACAGCTACTGCAATATAGTATGTAAAGACATATAATAATAGTAAGTTCTTTACGAGGAGCAGTATTAGTGAATAGGCCCTTGATATATTGCAGCCATGTCTATATTTTTCTAATCCATATATATACTATACTTTTTTAAGTACGTTTCTGATTGACAAAGAAGTAATGTCTGTTCTCTTTCAACATTTACTCTGCACCGGTTGTTTACTTCTGAATAGTACACTGTTTGTGTGAAAAATTCAAGCCAATGGTAATGCTTTGATGAACAGAACTTTATATCTAGAGAACAGAATCCAAGAAAATAAAAGAAAAAAAAAAAGCATTTTCGACATCTAATGTTTACAGCTGAATAATATATTTAGTTACACAAAAGATGTATCGGCGTGGCATATGAAAACGATTTGTCCAATATATATTGTATACAATAGTCAAGAACAACCACTTACACCGCTTCCATGGATAGCCATTGTTTATACGTTCGCTTTGAGCAACGGCCTTAATGACAGTCGTTCATTTTTTACGAAGAGTATTGTTTCTGAATTTAGAAAAATGGCCTGGAAGATCAGCCCCGTACCGTGTTGCATAAACTTGCGTTTCATGCTCTCACCCCGGGAAATGCTATAAAATGTCTACGAATAATATGCATTCCTATTTTTTATTGCGAAATATCTAAAAATTGTAAAAACAGATACCGTATTTAATATGATTGGCTAACGTGTGTGTTGATCAAGTGCCACCGTTGCGGACGTTTGTATTTCAAGATCCCAAGCAATAGATACTGTAGGGATCATATCAATTCTATAGTCGGGGTCAAGCGTTCCATTTTTTAATACTACACGTTTTGTTTATGGGAAAGTTCCATACCATTTGGCGCACATCGATGACCTTCCTTCGGGTTTTCCTAGGCCAAAAAGGTACCGAAGCAAATTGTAATATTTGTTCTGTCGCGGCTGTGCTCTTTGAAAGTAATTTTTTAACCTCGAAAGTAATGTATTACCCCTAGGAGACTATACCTGGCTCCATTCGCCCGACTGCGGTCAGTAAGGCCCCCAGGCAAGCCGTTTATAAATTGGATGACAGCACGCACTATGAAAATTCGACTCATGTCGGTCTCTTGAATGTATAGGATGAGTGGACATGGCTCTATAGACCCTTTCTTTCAACATCAGCAACTTTCTGGCGATACGGAATAAAACGCTGTGGCTGATCGGGTGTAGCGTGGCCGCTAAGTAAATTTTATTCGGGTTTTCTATTCTTTAAATATTAATTTTAAATGTATAAGGAGTAAAACTAATCCACTCTCTGACTCAGAACAGATTTGGCTTACCTGTGTTTAACGCTCGACAGTTGTTTACAAAAATAAAAAATTTTAGCTGGCGTTCTCGCCGTAAGATTGTTCGCTATTCTATACATATGACTGGCTATGTATTTTTCTTCACATGACGTATAACGCATCATCTAATCTATTACTTATAACATGTTACCTCTTTGATGTCATTCTTGTTTGCGTTGTTGTTATTGTTACAGTGCTTATGGTGGAAGTGGTGGCGGTAGTAGCAGTGCAGGTGGAGGACGTCTGGGAGGCCGAGGGGCTAGCGGTGCCGGTGGATCAGGGAGTGGAGCAGAAGATGATGGGGGCTCAGGGTCAAAAGCGCCTCCACCGCGTTTGCGTTCAAATTCGTACTACTCGATACCCTTAGCGGAACCATCGGGCCATAACCCCACAGCTACAACAGGAGACCACAGAGGAACTGACCACAGGGCGCTTGCGGAGACTTATGGTGAGTACAAGTAGTAGTTGCTATGGTGAATAAGCAATTTTAAGCAAAAAAGAGGCAGCTTACAATGGGGGACCCGTCCATTATTGGTAGCCTTGAAATCACTATATTGACATACGCTGTAAGATGCAAAAGCACAGCGTGAAGCTTATTTGCTACTGAAAAATCTGCAGAGAACAATGAAACTGTAGCAAACCACCAAACAATTGCGGTGGTAATCTATCGACCCCACCAGTAAGAATAAAAACTGCAAAAAAAAATTTACGGAAAAAAATCACCTAAACGAGACGAACTATTTGAAGAAGCGTTGGCGACCTACAAGAATATGGCAACTCGTAGTGAGGCAGTCATGTCATCTGCTCGAGAAAGGTACTCATAACTGGCTAAGTGATTAGGACGTTTTATAAGATTTGTTATTATTATTATATACTTTAATGCTAAAATATTGTATTCCATTTTATGTTTTATTGTTATTATATAAATTTACTATATAGATCATCATATAATTCAATGTTAATTTAGGGTTCTAATAACATTAACAAGTAAAATATCACGAAATGTTTGAAATAGGAAATACATAACTATAGATGAATTATTTCAACTTACTTACTGAATTAAAATATCAAACAATTGAATTAATTGAACTATGCATCATGGAAACGACAACCGTACATTGAAGCGAAAACGTACCAGTTAATTTTTTTAAATATTCGCGGCTCGAGATAAAATTAAAATTTCCCGCGCACAATCGAAGCGACTACCGCGAAACTAGAGACAATAATACTACTAGAAGTCTGTGTATTCACACGTGAACAATTGAGATAATGCGCAAATAAGTATATGAATTGCAGACCCATTTTACTTATAAGCAATATTTATCAAGTTATGAAGTATGTGATCGCATAACATTTAATACATTATTTAAAAACATATAGAATTTTCTTGGTTCAACAGTTCGGTTTTTGGGAAAGGTCGGAGCATATAGAGCATAGCAATACTCTGTCTACAATAGTAAATTTAAGAAACATAAGAGACGAGTAAGATTCCAGTAGTAGTATTTTTTTGACGGAACTTCGATACAATGCTCAGGAGGCGCGACTTTTACGCGAACTTGAAAGAACGAGGATTCGAGGAGCAACGCTGCAAACCGTCAAATCGTATCAAAACGTAGTTTTTACTATAGACACGACAACTTTAAAATCTATCTTATCAATTAAAGCGTCCCCTAGGGGATATTTTAGCACCAAAAGCATTCATAAACGTTTTGTTTACGGGTCAATACACAAGCGAGAGCTGTATAAAAAGTGGCTACAATAGATGCATCGTGTATATATTTTAAACATAGGCAGGCATGGAGGTAACAGGGCTCTCTCTTTGATGTTCAATGATGGCCCCGCACGAACAGGTTGGTCCCAAGCGGCAAAACATCTCAGTACATGCTTTTCAATTACCAAATAAAGACATTCCGAAAACAATTTACCGAATATATCGAAAGCAGGCGACAAACACATGCGAGTACCCCACAATCATGATATTCCTAAAATAAAGTACTTAAGAATCAGACTATATAAAAAACTACCCCGATTGGAGCATACGATCGCGTAAAAAGCAGTATGTTCTGGGATGTAGCGTGTCCCCCAAGAACTCTGAAATCGCTGAAAGCTCAAAATATCTGAATCAGAAAAATTAAATTGAACAATCCGAAACATACAATAGCGCCACTAGTAGAGCCACAACGTAGAGCGGACATAATGCCATTAAAAAAGTTAAGCCTTAAATACTGGCTGGCAATTCAGTTCCAAGATTGCAGTATCTACGATACATATATCCGACGAACAAAGTAATAGCCCACTAAATTGGACATTTTAGAACAGATTTAAGAGAGAATTAGATGACTGTACGTTTACCGATATTTAAACGTAGTTTCTATAGAAATTAGAGAAGGATCAAGCTAGAGGATTGCGACTGGCGAAAGAGAAATTCGGTAGCAAAACTCTGCAATGAACATGCTTAGATAGAATACTTATCGACTACGACACACCATGATCCTAACAGAACTAAACCGCTATAGTCAATACAACAAAGCCTTACCCCGGTACGTACAGAGATTCGAATCAGCGACGTAAAAACAGGCTACATTTCAAATGCCGCCCAGTGTTCAGGATCATGAAAATAGCCTGCACAGGGGGCCACGAAGTATAACCGTTATGAACTTTTTAATGAAGGAAGAATTACGTTGCTTCAAAAAAGACACCATCAAGTATTATATAGTGAATAATACCAGCAAATACAATTACAGCGAGGTGAACAAGAAAATGGGCATCAACAACGGGGGCATGTACTCCAATCGAAAACAACGTACACACAGACATTGTTATTGCTACAGGAAACAGGTTATTGGACTAAATGGAGGAAGTTATGGTTACGTAAAAATAGAAAAGTGTCCTTACCGTGCCTGATAGAGGGCCAGCATTCCTGTAATCATTTCCGTTTGGCCTATGACATCTTTCGGAACACGTGGCACCATTGCAAGAGACACACTAGAGGTATTTGTTGCATGGTCCGAACAAAATTTTCTGTGAAGGGTGAAGCTAGTGGAAAACTTCGCTGCTCAGAGAATGCAATAGGCTGATGAAGGAACCGCAGCAGTACGACGACAATGTTATCCTAAACGGCTTTCACAAAACCTACCTCTTAAAAAGGGATTGCCAGGGCATGTTACACCTACAAATTGCTAGTGAACCTTTTGGTCCATTAGCTTACGTTGTTCGGCGAATCTATAAAAACCCTTCCCATTGAGAAAATCGGAGTCTGGGCGTGTCAAGTTCATTTCTGACATTGAATTGCCTCCAAAAAGTCGATTTCCGTCCAACGTATATTCGTGCCATATTTAACTGTGAAACCCGAAAGCTTATCGTGTCCAAACTCGCTAGAACTGAAGCATCTAAGCACTACCATAGATTAAGCCGTTATTCTGCCACCAAGATCAGCATACGTGCATACTATTTCGTGCTATATACGAGCAGCAGGGTTCGCCTTTAACGTCATAGGTCACATTGTCAGCACTTGAAGAGAACGCTAGTTTCAAAATTTATGCACAAAAAGTAGAAACGATGAAGTCTAGGCACGGACGGAGGCTCAAAAGAATTGCGCGCAGGCTACATGGAAATTCGTGAGTAAGATCTATCTGGTTGGCGTCATTTGAACTCTGTTAAGCAGTTTCATCTATGAACTTATTAAAGGAACGGTCGAAAGAGCACTAACGGCATTGATTTAACAAAGCAATCGACAGATCCTTCTCTTTAAAATAATCCTTACGTTCTTTGGCCTGAAAATGGCATAGGCTTCAACTCTGTTATAATGGAATATACCTAACGCTTCCAATCTGCCACTATTTGCTAGCAATAAATCCGTGTATATAATGGTCTGGTGTGACCTGCATGCTGATGTCTTTTGTTTATAGAGCAAATTTAAACCTGATTTAGACTTTATGCCACCAGCTGATTTGGCTGCACAAAGAAAAGATGATTCAGAGAAATCGCGCCGTTTTTCCGCCTTTCTAAGCTTTCTATTCGAAAAAGCGAGCACGGATTTCGAACCGAGGCACGTACCCAAAAAGATAAACAGACGTTTTCCCATAAAATCTTCCGTGCACCTTTTTTATCACTTGCTGCCAAAGCGAAAGTGTCCACAGATTACGTGGCACATGTTGTAAATACATCAGCATAATATTGCATATAAGACACCGTACCAATAGTTGAAAAACAGCTGCGTCGTAAAAATAGGACTAACAAACATTGTCCGATATTTCGAAGCGTACATTATTACGGTTACTATATGAGTGCCTGACAAAGGTGGCAATATACTTGGATTCATTACTGCTTGAATGCTACTAACTATGTGTTTAATTTATCCGTAGAATTCGATGAAGGTTTGTTTTATGCGCCAGGAATGATCCTGTCATGTAACACTTATAACTTAGTAGCTTTTATAAAGCGCAGCTCACCCTTCGAAGATGTGGCTTTGGGGCAGGTGAAACTGTGGTACAAAAATTGACTGGGTATATTTTTGCCATTTTTTTTACCGTTCAACAAACATTTTATAGAACGCGAAAAAACACTGAAAAGTACTAATCCCCGCCCTTTGACATTTAGCAACAGAAAAACATTGATAACGCAAACTGGATTGAATTTCCGTACCCGTACATTTCCAAAATTTCGAAACTTTTTTATACTATTAACCTTTAATGTGAGCGTTTTTTTTTCTTTTTTACTAGAAAAACGGCGTGGCCCGTCTAATTTTTATTCCATATAACTTCACTGTTCCCTACATTTACGTTATCGGCAGCATTTGCACTTCGCGTATAAGATGATAGTTCCTTTAAGCTGGACGTATCGTATAAGCGTTATGACCTACATTACACAAAGACGTTTACACAAAGATTAGAGCCCAGTGATAAAATGCAGTGATATCGAACTAATGGCTCGATATTAGCTAAAAGCAGATCTTTGGCTCCGGTTTATAAAATTGATTACAAGATATAATACAATCAAAACTATTTGACCGACGTCCGCCTTATGAATTTGTCAAGTTGAATTTTTGGCGGATCGTTAAAGTACCACCCGGCATGAAGCTCTGCATAGGATAGGAATACTGTCCCTTATGCAGTTTGCTTTTCCATTTCGTAAACCGTTTTTTTTTCTTTTTTTTTATATAAACGTCTTTGAGAAAGTTGTAACGGCTGAAGGGGCTAGATTTTTCTGAGTCTTTGTTAAGGAATGTTTTCTACTAATAATCGATGTCTTTATACCCACATGTTAATCTTGAGATAGAAAATGCTTTCTAAAAGCGAAAACTTGACGTAAGTTCGTAAAACTTGTTGTTCTATATAAGTTTTTTTTGTTGACACCAATCAATAAACCTCGACGAGCTGATACCTATACTTAAAATGGGTATCTCGGTGCGTAAATGTATCATTAAGAGGTTTCAGGCTAATTTGGAGAGTATTTTGAGTGAATCTGTAAGCGTCACTTGTGACGACAGATATGAATATATGCTTGAAAAAGTATTCTAAAGAAAATACGAAAAGCATATATTTTTTTTACACAATGTATTATTTTGTTGGTATCGACTCTACACTTATCGATATATCCCGACATGCTAAGTAGAAACGCAACGTATCTCCCCATAGTAGGGCTTGATATTTTCGCGTGACAAAGGCTTTCCTGCTAAGGTCACGATGAAACTTTTAACTTACCCCCGCGCCATTCTAAATAGTGAATAATTCCTCTTCTAATGAGTTGAATGGTAATCGATTCAACGAGGTCTCAATCTTTGCTCTCGAATGCCGAAATGCCGTTTGGAACATGGAAGCTGAATTTTGTGTTGGATATGAGGAAGATTTATTTTGACGACAATCGATAAATTGCGACATGCTCAATATAGTGCACATATTTATACTTAAAATGGACACTTTTTTTTAGTTAAAATTACGAAAATCCTATTAACAACAGGGTGAAAATGCGTTTTAAGTGGTTATTTTCGTAAATTATTATTATTAATTTCGAAAATCCCTTTTCGTAAAAATAATTTCCCAATTCATTTTCGGGCAAAAAAAGTCAAAATATTAAGAAAGAAAGTAAATGTTTATTTTTAAAAAAATTATTAATTATTAAGAAAAAAAAATAGAAATAGTTTAGCAAGCGAAACGTATTATAAGCGCATAATATATACATATCTTCAGTTAGTAGAACATGTCATTATTTATTATAAAGGGAAAAGGAAAATAAAAATATTATAGCTTTGATGATGTCCGGGAAACGAAGCTAATCTTAATTTCATTTAAATTAATAAGGTACCTAATTAAAAAAAAAAACATTTTTTAGCCTTTGTGCCGTCCCAGGAAGAGGATCAACCGACCCTATCATTATGCCTAACATATATATTAGAAGATTTGATCAGTTGATCTTATTCACGAACGTCCTAGAAATCTACCAAAAAACAATGAGAGAGACAAGTTTAGGGTTGGCAAACGCGTTACGAAGGGTTGATAAAATAATTACAGAAGGATGCTGAATTAGGTGGCACAGGATAATTGCAATGGGATAATCATTATACCTTATGGCTTAGGCTACGCCAGGTATGATATCGGTGAATCAAATCTGTTTACTAAACGGCACGAAAGGCGCTAGGCGTAGCAGGGTCTATTTACTATATGTACGTCCTCATACGTTTGTTTGAGAACCGTTCACAGAAAAAAACAAGCGTTGTACCATCTCAAGGCATAGTAAGGTTTTCGAACACATATTTTTTTCCTAGAATACATCTTAAATGAAGACCTTAAAAGCGAGTACATTGTGTCATGACCCCTGCGAGTCACACAGATAGCAAGGAAGTGAACTGACTGCCCGTCTACAATCACCAGGCAGATATTAATTGCTATAGCATTTAAGGTAAATGACGGGGACAGTTTGCCCGGTGAAACGAACAAGTGATTGCTTCCTGAAGAACCACCACAGGCCTTTCTGACGGGTCTCCTTCTGATAGGCCAATTGTAAAGTGATTTATATCATAATGGGACTATGGAGTGCGAGTCGGTCTCGTTCGGCGCCGGTTGATGCTGCAGTCTTCTACCACGCGCCCGTATTAAACTGCAGTAGCGAATATCTGCGTGATATTTTGATCAACTGCAATTGCTAGTTAGCACATAGACGTGACACAGTGTTACTGATGGCATGAAAAATCCATACTGTACAATATTCTGTGATTGTGTATCTTCATCGATTCATTTGCCTGCCGCTGCTAAGTGATGTTCTGTTTAGAATCCTTAGTAAACATTAAACGCCTATAATTAAATGGGGGTTCGCTTCCATTGTTGGGCAATGACAACTGTGACGCTCAGGTGGCAAATGACAGGGTCCATTCCTTGCAATGATACGTTGTCGCAGTATTTAAAGAACAAGGGAGGTGAAATGCCACGTACGTTTGGGTTTTTGCACAATATAAAGTACACGCTGACGCATCTAGATTTTCCAAAATGTCCTTACTGAAAGCGCGTCTATAAATATGCATGATAAGTGATTCGTGTCCGCGAGGAAAACGTTCTACTTTAAGAGTTACTGCACTCAAGCACTGTTTTTCGGTAGCAGTGTAGTAGAGGCCCTCGTACTGCTTTTTTTTAGCGAGACAACTACACGATCCTATTCTATTACCACATTTTTTGTACGTAGACGCGTTGGTGGGCAAATATTAGAGACTCGAGTAACTCGGTGTTGATCTCTATAGAAACAAAGCATCTAAGCAGGACTTGAGCTTAACAGGAATTTGTTTCTTTGCTTGATTTATGAAATTGACCCTTATTTGACAAAATCGTTTGCCGTTTTCGGTTCTTTCTTGTCGCAGAATACCATCGAAGTGCAGCAATGGCCGGTGGCAGTGCGCCTGAATGGGAAGGGGGGGAAGTAAGCGTCCTTTCGGGTGGTTCTCGAGGAGGAGCCCGATTTGACCACCCGACGAAAGGAGGCCTTCGACCCCCAGGGGTCAATTCGCCTGCTAGCGGCAAGTGGGGCCACGAGTGGGATATGCACGGACAGGGCCATATGCAAGGTGTGGCTCAGCCTAGCCAACATGGCCCCTCTCCTACCGGTGGCGGGCGACGACCTCAAGATATGACACGAGAGCCGCTGGCACCAACTAACAGGACCAATGCCTACCACCTGAAGGTATAAAATAGCGAGTATTAAATAGATACTTACTAGATTGAAGTTATCGCATACCGAACTACGTAGTTTAATACAGTTAGCCTAAACTTTTTATCGTTGATTATTCCGTATCTGTTCAATACTGGAAAACGTACATATATAGACAGTTCGGTTATAGGAAATATTTGTTTGGGACAGAAGTACTTTCGCTTCGTTCTTACTATTGCCTTTCTTTCTTGCTTACTTCACTCGTTGTTTACTTCTATATGTTACTTGGAAGTGCACTTTTCCCTACGTAAGTCTGTTGTAATTTCATTGTGCAGTTAAGTGAATTTCAGGTCGAGTTTAGGTTCCACATATGAAAGTTCCGAATAAAAAGAAACGCATTTTTGACGCGCACCCTATTTTGAATTTTTCCATAGACAAATAGCTGCCAAAGCAATACAAAGTATTTGTGCCGTCTGCAGTAAGGACTCTTCAAATAAAAGGAGTTGTTTCTTAAAGTTCTTTTACGCTGTTCAAAAATGGAACTGGAGGATACATTTCGCCCTTGTCGGTCATTTAAGGTCGATGAAAGCTGATTGAAAACGCTTTTGAAGGAAGACCGCCCATAAATGGATAGATTCACTAAGAGATATAAGATTGGGTATCTCATGAGTTAAGTGAACATCACAAAGGAACACGGTTTCTCAGAGTCTTTCAATTTCTCGTCCGGCACCAGGCAAAGCATTAACCACAATTACACACGTTTCTATACGGAATTGACCTCGGTGGCGGCAAGTAGTCGATGTAAAGAAGAGAATGGGTAGATACCCCAAACCCAGTATTTCTCAAAAAGACTATAATTTGCTGAGATTGGGAGGTCATGTACACTGGGAAGTGTTTGAGAAGAACAAGACAGTCTGTATACGATCTAGTTGCATCGAGTCGGCGAAACGATTCAACTAGATCGTATACAGACCCAACGCACAAGGTAAGGTCATTCTTCCTTACGACAACGTGGGGCCGTGCAGGGTACAAAGATTATGAAAGCTGCGCTGCAGGAACTCGAGCAAAAGGTCTTCTGCACCCATCATATTCTCTCCAGACCTCAATTCAATAAATGATTACTTTTTCCAATCAGTGGAAAGTGCAATTTATAGTAAAACATTTGACGATGAAAAGCTATGAATATCGTTTATGGCTGGGTTTGGAGGACAACAAACATCATGTCACAAAATTTCTGCCGAAGACGAATGAATAAACAGAAGAAGGTGCCGGAATATGAACGTTACTATAATTCGGGTAAGACACTACGCTGTCAGGCGAAAAAAACAGTTCCAATCTGATATATGTAGGCAACAGCATCAATTGCCCATTACATACATTAATTACATGCTAATTTTCAATAGCAGACTTATAAGGGAATAAGTGACGCGACAACCTCTACCCGTTTCTGATGCGGTAATGGATATTACTAATATTAAGTATCTGCAGTTGGGATATGCAATCGTACAATATCCCCGCATGTGGAATGACCGGCTGTAGTACCATTTACACATTATAGCCCTTAAGCGTTGTTCATCGACGAACGTAGAGTTACCACGAGTATATCGTGTTTCGTAATACGTCGACCCTTGGAGACCTGAGGGCCACATATTTCTTCAACGGCTTCTGATACATTTAGCCAGACGTCTCCGAGACAGGTCGACGCATTTGGGCGACAGTATTTGGGCGACCTGTAAAAAAAAAAAAAGTTTAGAAAAGGAAGTATAATAAGTTGGCGTGTTTTTGTAACTGTCGAAAGGCCGTCATTTTATGCAGTCGATCGCTGTTTACAGCAAAAGTAGTTTATCGCATAATTTTATAGAGAACGTATAATTATTAGCTTTTTATGGTAACTACCTGGTATGCGTTGGACGATATAAAGCGAGGGTAAAAGAGCTACGTCTATAAACTTCGTAGAAGGATGTGCTAAGGTAAAGTAATTAGGTTTAGACTGCCTTTATTTGCTGCGAGAGATTATTAAGACTCTTTTCTGAATCCCGCTAAATTCCTCATTTCCATAGACGAGCAATCTGGTCTCAGTCGTATTAGAGAAATTGTCAAAGTTGTAATGAAAGCTGGAAATATGGGTGACCTCTAATTTCCCACGCAACCTTTTGGTGTGAAGTCTATGGTCAAAATTAGGATTTCGCTGCCTAAGAACTATCCACAATTGTTCGCCTTTTTGGTACAACTATTCTATCTCTCGAACGTTTGGTAGACAGTAATATTTATTGCCGAATCGACATGTATGAATACGCTACCTTGTTGAACTGCCACTATCCGCACGAGGTGTGGGACGATTAGGGCGGACAATGACCAGCTTTTAAAATGCAGCTTTTCGTTGTCGTTTTTGTTCATTTCTATTGCGTAATTGGTCTAGGATGGCCAATATATGGGCGCTTGGGGCGACGCGAAGGGCCAACGAGGAGCGGAGAATCACGCTAACTTAGCATTCGAGGGCCTCTCGCCGCCTCCACCGGCAAACCCTGTCGATGTGCTGACCGTCTCCGCGAGTATGCTACATCGAATTTTACCCGGAGTTGTGCAGCCGCTCAAGGTAACTGAGTCCTCACTCAGATCTATTGCGTTAAAAAGAGTAGGTTTTGGCCGGAAAAGTATAGGTAGACTATTAGATACTACCGGACTGTATGAAACAAGGATTATATTTGGACGATCAATGGGAACCTCCTCTCGAACATTAAAATGTTAAAAGCCTCTCAGTTACCGCTTATAGATAAGACCAAATAGAGTCAAACAAGCTTTCGTAGAAGGTAAGTAGGACAAAATTAAACGCATAGCGTAACAAAGAATTTAAGTTATACGCTTTAATATTACTTCGCTAACGTTATCACTTCAGGTGGGACAATATACAAGTTTGTGCGGATTGGCAATTAGCTCTATTCACGTGACCGAAAGAGACACGTGTGTTGTTATGGATATGTGCGAAAGTGCCGGATTCTGTGCGAGGTAAGTTATTAAAAGCAAAAACAAGGTCCTTCAGCGTGAATAACTGCTCTATCCTGAATTAGTTTCCTTCAGTCTAAACCTCAGAGGTAACAGTGAAGGGTTAGGTTGAAATCCGTTGCCAACGGCAAACTTTCAACAATATTTCTTCATAGTCCAAGTAATTGGGCTACCTGAATGTGAGGATTTCCTGGGCGATCTTGCGATGCGAATTGAAATAGAAGAGAACAAGGGTCGTTTTAGCATGATCAAATCATCCACATCTTAGTTTAAACCCATCATTCAATGGACAATGAGGTACAACAAAGTACGATATAAGTGATTATGAGAGTATCTCAGAAACATCATATTATACATTTTCAATGACACCGTACTTTCGCTTCTCAGCAAATACATATATTTTTAACTTGTGGCTGGTTGTTTACGGTTCTTTTCACTTCTACGCTCAATATGCACTCCTCTAAATTGCTTGCTTGACATGTCGGTCCAGGCTGTAACGCCCTACGCGATAGTGGCCCAGTGAGAAGCAGCTGCTGCTACTGCGTCACCTGTTGCATCTCTTATTAATATCGTTACGGTCACAAAACTTTCTGTCCCTCATAGGGGAAGTGCCCTTTCGTACATTTATCTTATCTTATCTTATTAATGTTTTGCAAGCCGTAGAAAATAATAACGATAATAGTAATAGTGATTCAGGACACAGTTCGGTGATGAAAACCAATCATATACACTTAAAAAATCGAGTCGTGCTAATGATTTTGACATCTGGCCTGTTACTTCGTGCGAACAGCAGCGGCAGCTGTATCGATGGAGGCATTAAGGCTGAAAGTTATCGAAGTGAAACTGGGTCGTAAGTTCCGTAAGGTCTCAGCTGGCACACGATCCATGTACGTTATGAACAGCTTTGTCGTCATTTTCGGATAGATCAGAAATTGTTTTCGATAAATCGGCAACGCCTTTGTCAAGTTACCGTTGGATGGTAGTACAACCCATAACGCGGCCTCCCTGCTTTGACAATGACAGTGCAAGCCGTTGTGTTTATCGGTGTCTTCACTTTTTGTAGCTAAAACTGCCAATTTCCGCCGCGTCATGTAGAATATTTAAAAGACTTTATGCCAGTCCAGAAGTAGTGGAGATGAAGATATAGTGTCACGTCGGATGTAGTTTGATCTACATCAGTTCCAGCGTTTTTCATCAATCAGCAACAGGGCGGTCAGCTTCTTCTGTACCTTTTCAAATGTGTATAACGAGTAATATATTGATGTCTTGGCGTATCAAGGTAGAAATCCATTTTTTCCTGCGCTTAATATTGTATTCAGGTCGGGGTACTGTATGTTGCGAGTAAATGGCTGTGTCACACGGCACAATTGATATGCGGTATCGATCCTGCAATAGGCATATTTGTTTATAATGACCATAGACCCCTGGGATATACATACTGTGTGAATAGAGCGTTTACACACAGTATCTGCTTTATGGTTAGTCTGTCAGACGACGAGATTTTACAGTTCTGCGTTCATTTTTACCGTGTACAGGGATCTTCCATCGCCGGCAACAGAGCTGTTGCCCCTGCCGCGAGATTGGATTTCGGTACAGCTAGCCCGACATAAGCACACCTTTGGGTGGTTCAAGCACAACTACAACACGGCAACGACAGTCAGCCATCGGGATTCACACAAAGGTTCCCATATTCCCCCGCATCACCCCTTGTCCCAGGTGCAAGGCGGGCAGCAAACCGGCCGTGGACAGCATTCACCCAAAAACCTCCTTTTAATGAACGTTGAGAGAAACAGTAAGTTGCAGTTATATAATAACTATGAATTCTCTACTGCTTCTATAACTTTTACAACAACAAACCTTCGTACACCGTACTACTGTCCATCAAAGAACCCCACTATTACCCTGACTATTGTCTGTATTACATCATCATCAATCCCAACGTGAGATGTCGGGACAATGTTTAGCAAGCAGACCGACCTAATATAATTATTTACCTCAGCTACGCAATATATCGTACAACATACTATTTGAAAGTAAAAAAAAAACAACAAACTTCTGCTTTATCGATGGAATTTTGCAATTGAAACTTAAACGATCAATTACTGTAGACAGGGCATTTAACTAAGGAATTTACGTAGAGGCGTATGCATGCATTTGTATGAGGACAAAATATTTTATGTATTTTCGGCATAGCTACCAACTTGAATGGTATAACAGAATTAATCCTTAAACCTTAGCTAGATATACGCTCGCGAATGGATAAAATTCAGTGGGTATGAGTGTTCTAATATAGCGGTATTTTGGGCAAGCCATGCAGTGGGCTTGCAATTGCGGTAGAAATTAAACCGTTTAGAAAAAACATGAATATGAATGATGTAGTATATATATATATATATATATATATATATATATATATACAATTATTTTGGCCTCATTTTTGCCTGTTACAGGCCAATTCCCATTCATGACAATACTATCTTGTCGTGAGACGGAACTGGCTCGGCTAATCCGAGAGCTGGATGAGTTGCACCTGCCCCCGGGTTTAGGGCCTTCTATGGGTGGAATGGGTGGCTTGGGAGGTTCAATTGGAGGATCAATCGCGAATTTGGCGAATACCTGCGGGGGCCAACTTGCCTTCGCGGCGCCTGGATACTGCGCCAACTGTAGCAACGCAACAGGTGACTTCCACCCCATGTCCGCTCAGCAAACAAGGATACATCACACAGGTGAGAGTTTTTCTTTTGACCTATATACATACGTTGGTAAAAAAAATAGATTAAAAAAATAATTACGGTTTTTAAGTCAAAATGATACCGAACGTTTCCTATATTTTAATGCAATAGTACTAAGCTATATATGCGTCATTTGAATCGATGACCTTCTTCCATTCTTCTCTCTTCTTTGGTAATATCATCTTTTCATCACTTGGAACTTTTGTTGTTTCTGTAGCAAGTAATTCTCTCCGTTTATTCACATTGAAATAAATAAACACCGTTAAGAGAGTTCAGGTAATAAGAGTTTGATAGTGCAAGATCGAACAACACGGCATATGTATCGGAGTTTTCCCGTCAAAACTCTTTAATTTTTGGCGGGTAGCTGAACATTTACATTGTCTTATATTATCTTATATATATATATATATATATATATATATATATATATATATATATATTTTTTTTTTTTCAGTGGTCCGTTTTAATTCTTTGTTAATCTTTCACAGGACAGATCCAAATTAATAGTTTTGCTGCATAGCAGCAATTTATAATGCACGACTCGTCAGCATCAGTTCGGGCTTCACGCCACGGGCCGAAGAGCCAATTTTCTTTCCATATTTCCACTATATGTGATCCACTTTTCATTACTACTGATCAACCACTTTAGAAACGGCCTAATTTTCTTATATCACTCCAGAATTTCGTAGATAAAAATATGATCAAGTAGATTATTTTGTGTCAAATCGTATGGCACCCAAGGATCGAGTAATTTACACTCTTCAGTAGTCCAAGATGGTTTGCTGATTGATGCCTCGTTCCTCGGCAATGTCATAGCTATTAACCTATCGATCTTCCTCAGCTTCCGCATTAACTTCATCAACTCTTTTCGTAAATAATCGACCACTATAAAAAGCGTCCAGTTATGTCTTGTCTTGAAACTTCTGGATCGAGAACTTCTGATAACGCATCTTGGTCGTAAATATAATTTTTTAATAAGTAGCATTTATGTCTTTAGATTGAAAAGCATAGGGAATTCCACTTATTTTACAGGCATTCTATTTTAACTTTTAATGAACACCTTCCAGCGATTTGTCGCATCTACTACTGCTAAATCTTAGCTATCAAATATA